TAAAGTCAACGTCTATATTTCTTTATTCAACATAGGCTTATTTTAAGCTTTTATTGAACGGCAAAAACTACCACCGGTTCATTAAACTAGAACTGAAAGAGAAGAACCGTCAGGAAACTCTGCGGTTATACATGTATATGTTTTTTTAATTATTTAAGTATATACACAAAAGTATTTTAGTATAATTTAGCAGGAGCCAGGGGACTTGCAAGAGCAGAGCAAGAGTCATTTCCACACATCCTTGTCCTCAATGTATTCCTCGACATTATAATAGGCCCTTTCCATTAAGGTGGCTTTTACAAAATGTTTGAAATTATTTACACTTAATTGTTTGTGGACGTCACCTATTCTATTATATAAGTAAATACATCTACCAAGAAAAGATTTCTGGTTTTAGCTAGTCTAAACCTCGGTATTTCCAACGTGTCACCGCGGCCCCGACGCGTCATTTCACTTCAAACTAATTATTTAGAATGCAAAATTAATTGCCGGTAAAAACTCCTTGTCTTCTGTTGCTAGTGTAGGTTGTTTAATCCATCAAGTTAATTTCATTCGATGACATTTTGTTTGGGAGACAAGCTTCAACTATTGGTTTCTGTAAAAATGATGACGTGCAAGCTCTCGGAACATACTCAAGGGTTTTTAATTTATACGTTCCAAATTCCCTTATAACACACACAATATCTTTATATATTATAGCCTATGTGTTATTCTGATGTATGAGCTATATTACTGTAAAGTTTCATTAAAATGTCTTCAGAAGTTTTTGTGTGAAAGAGTAACACATCCATCCATACACACAAACTTTCGCCTTTATAATAATAGTAAGGATTTACTGCTTTTAATTCTTTTTGCTGTGGTCATGCAGTTTATTCGGATTAGTTTTCCTTTTTCAATAGTTTATTATTAACTTCTATAACTACTAGTGCTGCTTGTCGTTGTAATAGTTGTTAATATTCAAGTTCAGTAATTGTTGAAATATTAGAATCAAAGTAAATAACGTTTGAACTCTTATACTTCGTTTATGGTGCTTTCATTATTTTTTTATTCAATAAAATCCTCAATTTTTATGCAATTAAATTATAAATTATAAAGTAAACACAAAACAAGAACACTGAGGTATTTAAGGTGCCACGCAATCATCGCACACTGTCGACATAGCAATAACGAAATTAGCTCTACATAAAAACATCAACAAACAACTCTACATAACAACATCCATAGATCTTTACGATGAGTCATACTAGGTAGTTTAGATTTGTCGTTGTAGTGTGTAACAACCTCTCTATTTGGTATACCTTATATTTGGCTTCCGTCAAGAATGACGTCCCTAGCGATTCGGCATAGCTAAGAGTCCGATCGATGTTGGGCACAATGCGCCGCCGCCGCGCCTCCGAGCGGCATCCGCCATTGTCTAATTGGCGCTTCCCGTGGACCGCCCTACGCTCGACGCTCCAGCGAAGGCTCCTGTGTTCGGGACACGATTGGGTGGACCCAAAGGTCGATTGGAACGATGCAAGCGCAGAGTCCAATCGGGTTTTGTAGTTTCTTACTTGGGAAACAACTCGGGCACTTCAGCGACATCAAGTTACGTAATGGTGCGGAGACAACACTGTACGCGGACATTAGGGTCGATTTAAACGTAGGACCCGTACTGTCGATTTGACATTTGAGGACAAATCCTTACCCGCAAAAGTAACAGGTTTAAATTCAATGTAACGATGTTGTGACAACTTGTTTATTTTACAATGCATTCGATGAAGCTTACTCTTAGTTATATGCTTATATTCTAATATAGGTATATATATAGTCTACGAACAGGAAGCGACACCATCATATGAAAATTAAACTGCTATAGGCTATTACAGTTAGTATCGTTGGTTATACAACTCGATATTAAGTTTAGTTAAGAATTTGTAGCAGTTTTAATGAAAATCGCATCATATCATGCAATTGATGCCAATCCCTCGAAATTCAGAAAGCATTACAAATTCAAGAGGCCAATAGTTTCAATTTGGTCCGCCCTCACCTGTCCCTCCGAGATAATCCGCCATTTTATTAATGCCCTCCTTAATGCCGCACACGTGCACTCTTCCCCGCCTTTGTTCTATCAAAATAATGATGTGTACCAATACGCCTCCGGCAGGAAACATTCAATAATATAAAAGTATCTCTAAAGCTATGGCAGTAGAGCTTAAAATGAAACGCCTATCGAGAGAACTTATATCGTTTTACACCGTGTATCCGACATGTTATTATTTCCTTTTGGCGGGCCGTGACTGACATTTATACAACAAAGACGATGTTGCCATGCGGAATAAACTGCTACGCGTTATGAGAGATTACCGGGTAATCTGGGAATATTGAAGACAATGAAATAAGCTTACGAGTCGAGATGTCAAGGAGGGGGTGGAATTTTAGTGTAGCTTTCATATACGATGTACCTTGTTTTTTTTTTTTTCATCGGCATTGATTTAATGCCGAATATATTTTTTGTCTATGTTGTGACTCATAAAAATGGAAGATTATATATTGTTGTTGTTTTTTACTACGGCAGGTATTTTTATAGCTCCTGTGATATCTACATTCAAGTCTCTTTAATTTTATTACCTTTTAGTTAAAGGGTTTCTTAGCGTATTTTTCTATATTGGCCGGTGTTAATGGTTACTGCGAAATGATAAACGATAATTGTGGTAGTGGCGGCTTTGAATGGTGTATGTTTTTTTTAATTTTCTCCTGGCCATTGTTTTATACGAACTTTTCTGCATGCTTAAAGCTCTTTTTTCATACCTATATAAAATTTTACAGTTTTGTTTTATATGATAAAAATTATAACAGGTATGGATATAAATAAAAAAATTAATGAAACGATATTAAACTCGTTAATTTTTATTAATTTTATAAATCGAAATTCATTACACCTCTTTTCTCGATATAATTACAAATTCCTTCTCATTATTAATATTATTATTTATAATATTACTCATAATAACTTCTCCTAAATCTAACCGAAATTATTTCGATCTAATTGTCAGAACGTGTATAAATTAAGTTAAAAAACATTAATTACATTTTTACTCGTTAGAACTGACGAGTTAATTTTATCATTTTTTACAATAAAAGGGGCTTATTGCTATGAATCATTCTTCAACGCTTTCGCGCAATTAGATCTACTATGTTGTCAATTCACTAAAACGTTTCTCCTTAATAATTATGTACACTATAAAATAAATAGCATGACACAAAATATAAAATGCCGAATTAAGTACAAAATAAAAAAATACAGAGTCTCTTTTCTAGAAAATCCACACTATCTTCAATTGGCTAATTTTTATAAAATTATTATTCACTTCTTCGTCAACTGACTATTTGAGATGAGGATTATAATTTGATATTTTTCTTACGATTTATCTTAAGAAAAAAATCATTACTAAGAAAAATGTCCAGTACTTTTTTATATATCACTTGTTTAAACGGCAATAAAATAATTCGTTGTCTCTTTTATTCCTATGAAAACATTTTTTTTAAAGCAGCAATCTCTTTTTTGCAAGCAGCAATGTATAAAACAAATATAAGTGGTACGTCTGCCATTCGTGTCATCAACCTTTTATCGTGTTTACGCTTTAAAAAAGGATTTTGTTGCGTGCAATGAAACAGGCCCAAGACGAGGAATTATTTTCAATGCAATTGACAATAGAAACACACATTCGAAGAAAAGAAATTTCATGATACACTGTCAGCTACTGGTCTAATTCAATACGCGTATATACAATTTATTATCTACACACACGAAACACTGACCGCCTTAGCATAAATTATGTACTATTCACACAACAATTAACTACGTTATCAGTTATTTACAGCAAATACAATTGAATGTTTCATGTTTTGTGAGCTAAAATCAAGCGGATGCTTTTTTCATTGCAATTGATAGTCTGTGATTGAACCATAGCTACTAGTTGATTCTGAACCATAGACAATGTTTGGAGATAGAATGCGCATTTCTGAAAGAAACATTTTTTAATGTATGCTTTTATCGTTAGCGAGACAGATGTGACATATTAATTCTCTTTTAATGGAAAACCCAACTCCCTAATCTATTAATAACACTATTTGACACTTATTTGTATATCATTTAAAAATAAAAGGTTAAAAACTGCAGTAGCAAAACCCTATACGATTCTAAAACTGACTATTTTAGAAGTATCTTTCATTTCCTCTAATCGTAAAACGGAACGTTACAAAAATAATAAAGTCAAATCCGTAATTGTGCTTAACTATTGCTAATGTATATACACGACAAACTACTCAGCAGTTTTCTTCGCGCGTTCACTGTTCAATAATTCACTCAAACGCACCACAACTTGACACCAAAAACGTCAGTATAACATCAGCCGCCTCCAGCGCCGCTTTACCAGTGACAATGTTCTCGAAGGATCGAAATACGCCATGTAATATCGGTTTGATAATAATAAAACTCATATATAAAAATTTGTAGAAAAACATTGCGAAAAGCTTTTCGCCGCTGCGAGAATCGAACCCACGTCTTCCGGATTCGCGCCCAGACGCTTTAACTACTAAGCTAAACGGCTGATTGCCACACCGACGAGAATCTCAACGTACTTTAGCAATATTGTATTTTCGAATTTTAAGCAATGTTTAACGAAACTTAAAAATAATTTGACTTCACATATTATGAGAAAAATAAACGATGTTATGTTCTTTTTGAAGAAAACATTTTCAGATTACGAAACACTTAAATACGTTCAAAGTAAAAATATTTTTCATAGAGTAAAAACCATACATTTAGTACAATAGTCCTCAAAAACATTTAAAGGTCCTTAAATTTTTTTTTGTAAAAGGATTGCTATTATTATTCAAAACAGAAATCAATGATTAGATATATAGATTTTATCAATTCAAACCGTGGCTTTGACTGTTCAATCGAAATACATCTCCTCCTTGAACATTGTCTCGTGGTAAAGCTGTGGGAACTTCTACCAGGCCCTGCCCTGCAGCGGGAGATAGCCTGAGCACTGCTGCTGGTAGGCCGCTGGCTGGCGGTACGAGGAGACCAGGGGGTTGCTGCAGGCCGCCTGCGAGGGCTGCGGCGCGCTGTACCCAGAGGTGGGGGTGGCACAGTGGCTGTGAGCTGGTGACGAGGACTCCCCGGAGCCGCACGGCTTCCCGTCCTTCACCAGCACCGGCACCGCCACCCGTCTCGGCGACGACGACGACTAAGGGAGAGATGGTACGGTGGTTTTATTTTTGAAACGTGAAACGGCAAGCGATAGGCAGCTATTACATTATTGTTGTGACATTGAAATATTTATTGACTTTTATGTTAATACTAGTTGCTGCCCGCGACTACTTCTGCGTAGAATAGGCTGAAAGCGTAACATTCCGAAAGAAAAACAGATATACATTAAATATGTATATAAGTTATAGCCTATGTCTTATTTTGACATATAAGCTATATTATGGTAAAGTTTCAATAGAATCCATTCATCAGTATTTGCGTGAAAAAGTAACAAACATCCATCCATACATACAAACTTTCGCCTTTATAATATTAGTAAGGATATAACTATATGAAAAGAAGCACATGTTTATGATTCTTTTCCAGTTTAAGGCCATGTATTTTGTATTATATTTGCACACAGTAGTTTCCATAATATCGGTTATCGCTTGTTACCATCTTAGACAAAATGAAAACCTATTGCTAAAAATAGATAGTCTTCTGTAACACAATGACAAAATCACTGTTCAAAGCTTACTTTTTCTTAAATTCCTTTTCAAAGCTATTCATATGTTTGTAATGTTTTGAGTTTTCTTCATCAAATGATAAAAACATTGCCATCGATTAGGATCAATCTCAATGATCGAACCCCTTAAAGACTACATTTGAGCAAGAAACCACAGACAAGCAACATAATGGCGGACCAACCAAGCTTCCAATAAAAACAATGACCAATAAAGACAAAGATGAGAACCGGGAATACTCCGAATTAATTTATATCTAACTCGACCCTCTACGAAGTTGTTAATTAGAGTTGGGGCGCGATCGATAGATTCGTTAGGTCGCTCTCTCGCTAGCAAATGTCGCCCGCCCCGCCCGCTAACAATCGCCCGCGTGTTTCGGCGCGCGTTCGCGCAAATTGAGCCAATCGACGTACTCTGGCAACACACGCTCTCCGAGGGCTGCCGTCAAATAGGTTAATGTAAATTAAGGCGCAATTTAAATTAGTGTCAACGGGAAAGCACTTTATATATTATCGGTAATTGAAGAAATAGTGCGTCCTGCGTTGAATGTAACGTGACTTCCATGCGGGTTAGCGGATGCTGATGGTTTTAGTCCATATGATTGGGTTCTATTTGTATATTATATGCCATTATGTCTTAATATAATAAATATTTGCTACATATTTTCGTACACGTGACGTCATTTTAGATATTTTGTTTGGAATGTTAGATTAATAAATATCCGTTAAAAATAAGATTAATAAAACCATGCAAAATTTGCTATATGGAGCACAAGAGCACGAAAGTTTATTTCGAAAAAGTCTTTGTTACTTACTTACTGTTTTTATATTTTTTTTAGTAAATTATACTTAGGTAATCTATCGAAACTTTTTCAAATATGACTAGATACATCGATTCGAAGTTAGAACCTTCAATCAAAACTAACAACTGGCTGTTAATATTGTTCATCGAAGGTAATTATAAATATCAAATATGTATATACTTATATACGTTTTATGTATAAACGAATGCAATCACATTACAATTATATATGTAATACAATCCGAAAATTTTTGACGACCCGAATGGCGTAGTGGGTAGTGTACCTGCCTCCTACGCCAGAGGGTGTGGGTTCGATCCCCACTACTGGAAAAATATTGTGTGATGAACATGGTGTTTTTCTAGTGTCTGGGTGTTTCTATGTATAATATGTATTTATTTACAAAAGAAAAGTATGTTTATGTATGTTTATCAGTTTTCTAGTACCCATAGTACAAGCTTTGCTTAGTTTGGGACTAGAAAATGTTGTGTACAAATGTGTCCAAATATAAAAAAAAAAAAATCCGACTGTCACATAAAACTGTCATATTTCATTCAAAGTTCACACTAATCCAATTTTTATATACAAAATTAAAACACGACTATAATGCGTGTGCAGTTGCCCGCAATATTTGCGGGCAATTGCGAGCGCAAAAAATAATAATAGCTCTGGGGTTGCCAGATTCCGCGGGCCGAGTTCTCCCAGCGGTCGGGAGATTGCGATCGAGTGGGCCAAGTCTGTCGCGGGCAAACAAGGGGAGCCGGTGCGCAGTCAGCGGATGATTTTATCGCGCGTTTAATATTCATTATTCATTTAGCGATATTGAAATTCATCAAAAAGATCCAGCAGCGGCCGGTGGGAATAGGCGGTTTTGCTTTATGTCATTCTCCTTGGCTTTTTTCGTTTCAAGGCGAACACGTGGTGTGCGGGAGTTGAACGTCATTGCCGTCTATTTGCTACTTTTTTATTGGAGACGGGAAGCCTATTGAGAGATAATATTATGGTATGTTGCAGAGGTTTTTAATTCAACGTAAACAAGGATTAACCAAATCTGCAGCAACAGTAATTAGTTTAGAAATAACAGACATTGCCTTATTTGTGTTAAATTTTATGGGAGACAGTGTTTATGTTAGCAACGGCTGTACGCCAATCAATTTTTGTCGCTTAATTCTAGGAGAGTAAACAGATACCGCTGACAACTGCTACTAGAACTTGCAACTTTCAATTGCATGTAGTCTTCACTGCACCTCAGCTGTTGCACAAATGATGGCCTCGGGAATTACCAGGGCCTCATTGAACACCGTCTTGTAGTTGAAGTATTATAGTTTCGCGTTTCGCCTTTCAAGTACCCAAGGCCTAATTTTTTAAAAGTTCGCCAACGCATCGCAGCCTCGTGTAGGTGTCCATGGGCTGGTAGACTCAACATCAAGAGAACCTCTTTCTGGTTTGGGACCTCCTGTCGTAAAAAATCAAAAGTTCCTCGTACTACTGGTACAATGATGTATGTATTTCTATTCACCTGATTGTGCTGGTTCTGCTCCGCCATTGCCTTCTCCTTCGCCTGCCGCTTACACTTGTAGCGGTGGTTCTGGAACCATATTTTGACCTGTAACAAAGACGAACGTCACTTCTCGTACTATAACGTATACAGCACAAATCTTCAGCACTATATTTGTAGTGACCGTCCAATTGTCTGATTACCACATCTTAAACATTAATCGTTAATTTTTGATATGTATTAATACTTTTCATCATAAGAGGGGGAGAAGTGCACAATTTCATAAGTTTTGCTTCTAAAGGTAGACAGGGTTTCCATAGAAAAAAATCTTTTTAGTCCGTAGTTTCAGTTTCATCCTCTAACAGAAACCAGACCTACACGACTGCCTGAAGGAAGAAATGAAAATGATCTGACGATGATCCCTTATAAAACATACATAGATAACCCATTACATGATTGATACATGAGACAATATGTTTCACTTTTTGTTAGTTACAACGAACGGTAACTATGGTTATTTTTATTTTTGATATTTTTGGAAAACTCACAGCTAGAACAGTTATTGTACGATCAAATTTAACAAAATTAAGGCCAATTAAAAGTTTTCACAATTAGAGAGAGAAAGAACTTGGCAACGTACGATGAACAATATGACAATTTAGGCGTTCGAAAAAGGCAGCGACTATGAAAATGTCACTTAAAAATGTCGAAATAAAGAACTTTCAGTCAAATTTTAACTTTTGTAAGAAATTCCTATTATCAATGATGCCGCCCGTTGTGCACTTTAGTTCTAAATAAAATTCTATTCTCTTTTCTATTTTTGTTCTCTTGGAGGGAAATTATATATACTCATTTATTCATTTAGATATAGTTTGTGCCATTCCTTTTGGAAGATAAATAATGATGATCAGTTGCAGGCGTGACACCGGCCTGCATCAAGTTGTGTGACGAATTAGGAATGGGACTGGAAACAATGTGACATTTAATAAAGGGGCGCGAAAAATACGCGACTAATGTTTGAGGGAGGCAATAAAGTGGTTAGGATTATAAAGCTACAAGCTTTGTTTGATGACTCTATCAAACATTACTTTTCGCTGCGTTTCAGTATCAGTTCCTGTTTGGCACTATTATTTGTATGGTGAAAGAAAAATTGTATTAGATCTGGTTTATTCTCCTCCGTTTGTGAATGCAAAACATTATTGTTTTCCTGTGATTTAGTGTATCTATAGAATTACCTTACAAATGTATAACCTTTGACCAAAATTAACTTTGTATTAATTGGTAATAAATTAGAAGAATAGGGGAAAGACAATAAGTCAAAAGAAATTCTACATCTTATATATATCCATAGTTATTTTTTTATTAGGTTTGGCATATTTTATATTCCACAACAATTATTATTATTAAAAAAAAAAACTTAATCATTCCACATTCTAATTGAAGTAAGCATTATGGATTAGTAGGATGGATTTTTAAATGGATTTATGAATGAACGAATGAATGCACTTTATTGCACGCCAAGAATGGAAAACAAGAACTAGAACAATAGTTAATTAAAACCAAAAAAATATGTGGTATACAATTGGGCTCCCGTATTACATTGAGATAAAATTTCATTAGCTACAACAGTTTTATAGAAAACAAACAATTACGGTATATTAAAACCGTGGTGGTGATCATGACACGCCAAGTGTCAACTTAAGAGAAGCCTCATTTCAACAGTCTCCTCTTGATAATTTAACAGTTAAACAACAGAAGAACATAACCTTATCTCAAACAGTTCTTACCACTACTTTGCAATTCTAGGCAGTTTTAATAGAAAAACGAGCTTAGAACTGCGGCCTAATCTTTCGATTTCCCTGCGATACATTCGTCAACATCCTGCGCGCCTGACCTCCCTGAAATTAGCGCTAAAGCACGCTGCACTACAGTCAACACTCCACCTTAATGACGAAAGAATAAACAGAACCCGATGTTTGCCCCACGGAGCGGGCAGCCTTTGTCTACGAGCGCTCTAAACGCAGCGAAATATACTCTTTATTTATTATTTATACATCGAGAGACTTTCCTCCGTGTTTATTCTTTGAAATGGACGTGTTCCCCCCCTCCGCCCCGCGGTGGGTTTCGCGCCGTTCCGTTATGGAAACGCCCGCGCTAACATCCGCCATTTTGTTCATATGACATTACGGAAATACCTGCCATCTTGTTCCATAGATATCATATTGCGCATCTTGTTAGATGAAATAATATAATAATGTTTCGGACAGGATGCGATGTAAGTGGGTCTTAATATTTTAATCTTAAACTCTACATTGCACTAATTTACCAAAAACCCCGGAGGTATCCGTAACCCGCGTTGAATCTGTAAGCAAATGCTTTGGTCCAACTGCAATAGCTTATAATTTAAAAAATCAAATATTCTTGGTGTGAATTATCTCATTAGACTCCATCATTGTTGAGTGTAGCGTTAAATTGCAAAATAAATGTTTTGTAACAAAAGTATTGGTACCAAAATTGTTTTACAAATGACTAGGACTACACGATTATTAAACACATCCAAATGTTATCTATCTTTTAAACACATCGAACTGCTTTCTTTAAGAATCCCGTGCAGTGTAATAAAGAATACTCCGCAGCTCAAACATTTATCCGCCGCGCTCAGGAACGTGACTCGCTAGGTTATTTATGACCTAGGTGAGATTTAATGAACGGGCCCCGGCGTCGGGCGTCGCTTATTGCTCCCCGGCGCGCCTTGGACGCTCTCCTGTCGAGTACTTTCTTTTCAATCTTCCCGTGTATAATGTTTCGTGTTTCCTCGCACGCACTCATCACACGAGTGTGCCATCCACATGTTTGTTTTACTCCTAAATGATTGTTGTTCCTCGACGGGCGATACATTTCGACTGCCTTAAGGGTCTTTACTTTACGTGTTCGAACTTAACGCCCACTTATGCTGTTGTTGTGGTTTAATCCATCGTTTAAACGTACCTACTAATAGGCCAATAATCACTTTTTGTACTTTAAATTTCCTAAATTGCAGTTTTAAAACATATTTCAGCCCAACAAAAAGAAAAGTTTAATAACACGATGGCCACCCAACCAGCTGTCAATTTGACAATACAAGTCAATTTTGGCGCCAACATTATGGCGTATAACATCTTTACCGTGATTATAATATATATGCCACCTCATTCTTGCTCTTTTACAGTATACATAAGGTCCAAAACCGGAATTTCATGTTATATTCATATATGTGACAGGTAAAAGATAGAACGTAGGTGTTCCGTTTCTGAGAACGATGACACAAGCAATTTTGGGTTTAGGGTTACCGCCTAGGAATTAACAATAGGTGGATTTTGAATTTAACTCTCTTAGCATCTAGAATTAGAATGTTACACAACTGAAACACACGGATTCTTCACCGACAAGAGCCTAGCTCTTAAATTAAAGAGAGCATCCATAATCAACATTTGGAAACGAATAAACTTAACACAATAAATATTACAGTAAATTATTGCGATTAAACTTAGAAATATTGCAAAAGCTAACGATAGAGAATCTTCTCGTTTAGGTCTTACACTTATAAGTACTTTCTGTTATAAATTTACTCCTTTCTAAACGTGATTGCCAACAAATTAAAATAAAATATTTAAACAAGGAATGGCTGGTAACCCTATGGGCATAATTAAGATAAATAAATGTTGCCTTCGTATTTGTTCAGCTCTTCATTTGCTGCATCCAGTTTTTTCCGATCGTGAGTTAACATTTCAATTCAGATATTTCGATCCTTCAACGACGTGTTGATCTTTGAAACAATGTTATTTCTCATTTCTTTTTGGAACAGTTAGTGTCCATTTATTTTTGTATTCGTGTGTTATGCGTTTAAACCTTGAGGAAAATTACCTTTTCCAAAAATAGTTTAAATCAAATATAATGTCTTAAAACGTATGACTATTTTTTTTTTATTTGATTTTAAAAACATTGCCCTTACTTTAGGATAACATTATCCTGTGTTGTAATGACGTTTTACAAACATAAATTACACGCGGCGAAACACCCAGATGCGAAACAACTATCTGTGGGTTGCACAAATAGTTGTCCCGTGTGGGAATCGAACCCACGACCCCCGACGCCGAAGCCAATACCTTGGCAACTGCGCCACGGAGTCATCAATGGAATATGACTTTGGTTAGTTACCTAAATAACAAATGGGCATAAAAAATCAACTACATATAAAAAAGTTTAGTTATAGTCATTAGCGAAAGGAATGTCTACTATTTAGTTTGATTTATCCAAATTTGTGAAATGACTAGGCGTGCTTTACCTTTTCATTTAATATAACATTTTAATAATGTTAATTAACACTTAATTTAATTATATTTAAATAATGTTTTAAATGAAGGCAAGCGCAGTGTAGAAAGGCCTCCCACAAGGTGGACGGACGGCCTAGTCAAGATCGCAGGGATGCGTTGGATGCAGGCCGCTAACGACCGGTCGAAGTGGAAGTCAAGGCCTATGTTCAGCAGTGGACGTCCTACGGCTGATATGATGAAAGTTTTTATTGTAAATTCTGATCCTCGCACTAGAAGCAACCTATTTTTGTATATTATATATATATGTAGACATTATTACATATGGTACACTAAAATAGTATTAGCAAAGTCCAAGCAAGTTAATTTTTAATAATGTAAGTATTTAAACTCTATCCCTAAACATTGTTCACATCTTCAGCATCAAAAAACTGTAGGTTTATTGCTTATCTTTAAAAAGTGGTCCCCGGTTCGCGCCGGTTCTATGAGGTTATATGGTACTTCCCCGTACCTTAAAAGGATGCTGTAGATGATTGAAGTAAGTCGTTGAGCAAATGTTAAAGGCGAATATCCATAGATAGGTTGAGAAATCTGACTTGAGTTAACCGCAAAAAAAAACATTATTCGAAGTTTTAAAATTTAATTTAGAAGCGATCGGTCGCTCTGCACGTCACATTTTTAAACATCGTTAAGCGTGTTTATATAGTTGCGAGCCGTCGATTGTGAGGCTCTGTGCCCTGTAATGTAATCTGCTAGTGCCAGATTAGAAATTCGGCTGTCAGATTTCCACTGATTGCT